ACAGAGCCTCTGAACCACTAATGCTTCGGAATTGGATCAAACCCTTGCCACAAGTTTTCCACGCCGCATTATTACTCGCCATTAAGACTTGCCAATGTAATGATGAATGTGATTATTTGGGAAAGTCATGGAGCCCGTTGGTGTCTTTGGCTTGCGGAGAGTAAAATCCAGAATAAGACTGGAAAAGTCATCACCAGGGAGACTCAGCAACCTTAGCAGCAAGTGAGGCTCGGCTTCGCAAGAGCAACGTCGCGTTTACGAGTCCGGATTCGTTTTTGTTTTGTTTTGGTTTTTTTTTAAATGCGCAAAAGTGGAAATACTCAGCTGCTTTTAGTCTGAATTCATTTGAGTCTTGTTCGCATTCCCTTCAGTCAATTTTTCTAAATTGAACGTTTAGAAAAAGCACTGTAGCATCTCAACACATTCTTCCCATCTGCAGATTGTCAAAATACCAGAGCATTTCGATTAATTAGCTAATTGAAAAGTGGCTTTTTGGTCGTGATTTGCGGCAAAAAGCGCATTCGTTGCACATGGAGAGGCATATTTCACGCATCTTTTTCAGCTAATGAAAACCATAACATCTGTTTCACTAAAAGCCTTAACATTCGATAAGACCAATGTTTGACTTTTAGAGAAAAAAATACATCCTTTTGAAAAGGTTGCAGCTTTAATTCTTTGAAGTTCTCTTTGAAATTTCACTCGAAGCAGTAAAATTTTATGCTTGTGCAAATATTTAATGTTTTGGTTTCTTACTTTTTAATCATTAAGAAATACTAATGTTATTCTGAATTGGTTAATTGTCTATTCTGTACGTTACTTTTTAATCATTTGACCAGCAAAAGACAGGTTCTATTAATACTAATGGCACTCTTAATTTTCTTTAATCTCAGTTCCCCTGAAAAAAGAACTCGAGTTTCTTAAAGAGACAATTTCAAGGCGTTAAATTACAAAATCATGTTTGAAACACACAGCGTTTTTTATATCAACTGCAGAATAACTTGATTGTGCAATAAAATGTTTTCATATGGCTGGAAAGAAGACAGAATACGGCCCCTTTAATGATCCATTCATCTGATTTTGTTCACAAAAAAATGCACAATGTTCTACTTAAACACAGACCCAGGACGTTTCATAAAGAAAACATCTTTCCAGTTTCAACATGTAGCCTCTGACACACACAGAGCATTGTTAATCTAAACTCAGCAGAGAGGAGAACAAAAAAAAAGAAAAATCTCCGAACCCATCAGAAGATGTGCCCGCAGTCGCTACTTTCATTTTCCTTCACAGCAAATACAAACACAGACGGCGCGTCAAATGCAAGAAAAAGCTTTTGTGACGGTGAATGAAATCTTAGTCAAACAACGGTGGTCTCTTCGTTTTATTCATGTTTCAACCCAGCGCTGAGATAAAAGAGACCCAGCCTGTGGCCCCGAGGCTGCATTTTATGTACACATCTTCACGAAACAGGAAGACAGACTCCATGCGAGATGACAGATTACATTCATCTCTTGTCAGAAACTCAAGCGCCTTTCATTTCCCCGAGCGTCGATGAGTGTTGTTGTTTTTTTTTCACGCACCCAAATCTCAAATCCACTGCATTAAATGTCACCCTGTGGCATTTGGGGCATTTGGCAGGTTTTCCTCTGAGAAGTTTTGAACTGTAGTTTCTATTTCCGCTTTTTCGGCAGCCATGTCCACCAAACCTTTCACTTTGACACTTCCATGATATGTCTGCTTTCTTTGTGCCACAAGTAAAAGAGAAAAAGCAAACAAGATTTAGTTATAGCGGCTTGCATGGATCTTTCTGCTGGGCTTGCAGTGGACTCCCTGTGAGAGTTGGTGAAGATTACATGTCAGGCTTCCCAGCCTGATAATCGTTTAAACAGACGCCACTTCATGGACCTAATGCCAGATCAGAGAAAAAGCTTTACAACACCACCAACCAACCACTTTGACCCTTTTTTTTACATTCAACTTAATTATTTCCAGCATTTATTTTGTAGCGATTTCTTTTGTCTGAGCCACAGCAACAAGACACATCGAACCTTGGATCCCCCAGCACTTATTCGAATCCTCTCTATTTGTACAACACCAAAAACCGTCCGTCCATCTACCGTACCGGCTCAATCCGTCCAGGGTCACAGTTAGCTAGATATCCATCCGTCTTCTACTCCGGTTTAATCTGCTGCTTGGTGCTGCTGCCTGTCTCCAGCAGTCAGTGGAGGACAGGCCGGGGAGAACATGCACATATAAGCTTCCAGTCTGGATCTTATACACCTGTACACTGATGTAAACCCCATGCAAAGAAAAAGGCCTGAAGACAGGATTCGAACCCAGGAGCTTCTTGCTTTATTCTTAATTTTAAATCAGTTTTTATCCCTGTTGGAAGAGTGACAAAGCCACCGGGATTGCTCTTTCTCCAGATGTCGGCTCTATAGACGTGTTGCATGTTCCTGGTTGGCCAATTTAAACACCTGCTCTGATGATGGTCTGTCAGAGTTGGTGTGTGGATCACCTTAGGTTTCAACTGAACAGAAACACAGAATTCTGCAGCACATTCACATGTTAAGGTTGTCAAACTCATGCTAGTATAACTGAGCTACGTCCCTCACTATTTTTTGAATCAAACATTTTAACTGACGTATGATACGAAATGTAACAAGGTGTGTTTTATTTTTTCCTGGATGCATTTTACCTGTTTTCTGTTGTTTTTTTTAGGGGGGGCAGGGGGAGGTTCTAAGAAAGGAGGCTGAAAACCTTTTGGGACCTGGGGCAGCAAAGCCCTGTTGACCCGTAAAGCATAGCATCAAAAAGAGAAGGTGAAAGAAGGAGCAAAATAAGATGCAAATGGGTCCTCACAACACTATCTGTCCAGCAGCTTTAATGACCTTTGTCACTTAAAAGTAATATTTTTGTGCAAAGTTAATAAGAGCCACTTTGGAGGACCTACAGAGTCACATGTAGTGATTTTGGCTGCAGATTTCAGCCTCCGGTTTGAGACATTCGCAGCACATTATGCTGCACCTCAGTTCTCCAAATGACCAAGTCTTTGCTTCTCTCTGTCTCTTCCGTTCGATTCACTTGATCCTCCACAAGTTCAAGAAGTTTGTCATGGGGCCACCGCTAACATAAATTACGCTAAGTGGTTTTGCGAGGTTTTAAATTTGTTTCCACCAAGAATGAGAAAATTGCCATTTGCAGATATGTTTTTTTTCATTTTTTTTCCCTCAACATAATGTTCAGTTTGGTGCCTGTGTGGCTGAGCGGCCCTGTTTCCACCACAACACACAGCGTGGTGAAACCAGAGGGCCGCCTCTTTAGCAGTCTACTTAGATGCCTAATCATCGCAGAGCGCTTTCTGCGGAACGCAGGAATCTGGGAAGAGGAAGAGCGCTCAGTCCGAAGGTTTAGGTTATAGTTTCAGATTCAAACACTGCAACGTGTCCCATCTCAGCGCAGAGATATTTGCTTGTTATCCCCAGTCTGCAGTTCTCAGTATTAATCTTGTTCACAGAAAACAAGAGGCCAGATGAGAAAGAGGAGGCTAAAAGAGACAAGCCTCAAGACTGAAGTCTGGCGACAGCTTATTAGTTTCTGCTGAACATGTGGACGCGCAAGAATTTGCTCTCCTCTGATTCTCTTCCAGTTGGTCGGCACAAAGAGAAAAATTCGCCCCCGTAGCAAATGTCACGTCGAACATTCGAGGTCGCGAATGCTTTGCATATCAGTGGCAGCGGGGTGGGCTGAATACTTGGTGCAATCACGCAAAATAACCTAATGGAAAAAAAACAAAACAAATCAGACGAGTGAGTCACTGAGATGCCTGCTATGAAACTCTTAACACAAAGAGCATCTGATGCGGTTGAAGCTGCTTTCTGGCACAACGTCCCGCTCAGATATTTGAGGCTGAGCTTTAAGGTCGATATTAATGTGTTCACAAATGCCTGTTAGCTTAGAGGAGCTGACTTAATTCGCTTCTCCAAGGTAACGGTAGCTAGCTCAGAGAAAACAGCACAAATTCGATCCAGAAGTGAAAATCATGTGTCATAAAAATGGATGACACACATGGTGGCTCAGGTCTAATGTTAATATTAATGTGTTGAGAAATACTTAGAAAAGCTAACTTGGCTAGCTCAGAGACTTTTTAGTCCTGTTATCCTTTTAATAAATGAATTTAGTACAGATTAATTTCACACAATTTGGAATGTGGCTGTAACGTATCAAAATGTGGAAGAAGTGAAGCGCTTTCAATGCACAATACATACATTTATATTTACTCATTTGCTCTGCAAGAGACCGTTTGTTTACGCAGCGAGACGTTGCTCACGGAGTCCACCTGATGCATCATGGGATAGAGGAAGTGGGTGGATAGTGACACTAATAATTTTAATAATAAACGAAAAAAGCAACGCACGTCTGCACTAATCACCTCATTTGTCTTAGAGAAGACGTCTGACTCTGAACGGTCGTTTACCTTCCAGAGGAAGTTTGAGAGATGAAACCGATGATGACTGTGGCTGAGGAGAGAGAGAGAGAGAGAGTGACCTGCGACCTTTGGTGTGTGGGAAGGGGAGCGCGTTACAGTCTCTCCGCAGCGAAATAACATTCAGATGGAGATGAGGCGTGACGGGACCGACAGTCGTGGGATCGGGTGTTATTAGCGACAGCTAATAAAACTGCAGCTTTGATTTCTTTCCTTCCTCGTGCAGAATTTATATCAACAAACCCGTGACAAGCGAGTCCATGAGGACTTGAGAAATACTACAGAGAATGCGTGTGTAGGTGGAGGGAACCGGGTGGATTTTGTGCAACTGTGGATTTGGAGCTTAATGCACAGGACAGTGAAGTTGCGTGGAAGCTAAAGCCAGCAGTTTGCTTTGTCAGGGTTTACTATTGTTGGACCTCGTCTCGGAAAATGAAAGTGACCACCCAGTTCTGTGCTCACAACAATGAAACCACTAAAGGGTTTTTTGCACATTTGCGCTTTATTCTTCGTTCCTCCCAAAATTAGTCCAGTTCAAAGCGAGTGACTTTTATGAGCAATCTGTTTTTCGCGGATTTGTTCACACTGCCGCTGCGTCGTGACAGAATAATGTGACGCAGACGAGACGGGAGAAACTGAGCTCCTCCACCTTTTGTATTGTGATGTGAAAAAAAACAAAAAAACAAGAAGTAAATTACGTGAACAGACGCAATGAAAAATGTGATGAAAAAACAAAAACACAGTTCAGTTAGGTATTCATAGTACAAAGTACTGAGAAAAAAAAAATACAAAGGAAGCGACCAAACAGAGCCAGGAGGAAGGTGTTAGCACTGTCAATCACTTCTTGCTCTCTGCTAAGCTGCAGCTCCTTCCCCGCACCTGAACCTGTCATGAACGCACAGGCAAGTTAGCACAGACACCAACGGTGGCAAATAAAGGGTTTTTAACAAGAAGTTTTTTCTCACTCGTTTGGACTTTGAGAAAGCGCGATTGACAGCGCTAAGACCCTCCTCCTGGCTCTGAGTGGTTGTTTCTGCAGATGGCAGTAGGACCACAGGAAGGAGGCAGAGATCAATTTATTCACCATGTAGTAGAAGTTTTGACAAATACCTGAAAATCATTTTGTTCATACTGCAGATTTAAGCATTTCAGTGATGACCAATTCAGATCGATTCTCCTTCACCATTCTTTGGAAATCCGTTTGCATTTGCGTTCAAGTAAACAACAACGCACTCCTTCCCATGTAGCCAAGGAGAACTGGATTTTCTTTCACTCTCTCTTCCAATGCCTGGAAAAAATGCAAAGACTTAACATAAATCCTCGCTGTATTTCTTTAAATAAAACTTTCTCCTAACCTGTGAAAAGTAATGCAGCATTTGACCTTGTAATCTAATTGTCCTTGTGTTGACAATTAATATCGTAGCACTGTATAAAGTTTTTTGTACATTAAGCACACATTTAAGATTTAGTTCCTTATGTTGGCAACTTGACAGCTATAAACATCGTCATCATTATCGGCGGGGATCATGACCGTGTGACATTTGCATGGAACTGTGAAAAATAATCAGACACAAATAATAATTTGTGGCAAAGATACAAATATGGCTGTTTATTAGCAACACTAAAAAAGAAGCTTAACCAGTTAAAGATATCCATCAAGACCACACCTTCACTACATCTTACCTAGATTCCAAGTTCCTGTATTTAGTCTGGCAGCGTCTCCTTCGCTGCGCCGTTTCTCCCATGAAAACCCCCAGGAAGCATTTATTAAGACCCGCAGCAGAACGGCTGATGCTGCAGGGGAGGAAAGCTGGACAGGTTTAGAGAACACAGAGAGAAAGGGAAGGAAGGACGGGAGACTTGACATGTAACTTTCAAAAAGGGAGTTTGATTTCATCTCGCAAGTATTAAGAAAGAAGAGAGAGTCGGGCTCCAGGTTTAAAGGCTTTCCTTTGTGTAAACTTTCCACTGTTTGAAAAAAAAGAAGAAGAAGAAGGCACTGCTTTAATTCCTCTTCGAGCATGTATAGGAGGAGCCACGGTGGAAAAGTCTGAGGCAAGTCCCCGGCATGGTTTTGATTTAAAAAAAAAAAGGAAAAAGGAAGACAAAAGTTATGAGGTACTTGCAGGAAAAAGTTGCCAGAGTTTTTGTGCATTCATAATTCCATCTGTCAGTCAGTCAGCGCTCTGCCTGCCTGGAGGGGGGGAGGAGGGTCATTAACACGCCATATGAGAAAAGCAGACCTGAGATTAGGTGCAGAAACACTGCAGCTGATTAATCTCACTGGTGGATTTAGGAGCAGAAGTTTAGGTTGGAATCAGAAATGCCTATCAGTTTCTTGGTCTTGGGTTCGGAGGGAAGCGGCTGGATGTCTTCAAGATCTAAAAGGGGAAGTGAGTTCAGCTGTCTTCTTTTGAGGAGGTTAGGGTTAGGGTGACCTGGAGGGCCGGGCCTCTGCCGGCACAGAGGACAGGCAGGTTGGTGGTGTCGGCGAATTCAAACAGAAACCGAGCGACGCAAAAAGAGCAAGAGCTGATTTCGTTTCCGATCCGAAGAGAGGACAGCAACTGAAGGGACGGATGACGGCTGCAGCGATGCAACGTCGCCGCATGCGATTGTCCTGAAAGATTTTGACGAGTGACTGTCGCCTCATCGCACAAGGTCCACAGGAAATGAATGGAGAAGGACATTTCTAAATGAACGTTTAAAAACAAAATGACTTCTTTTAAAACTTCCTGAATAAAAACAACCTGGGAACATGTTTGGTTTGAAATAATAAAACATTTTTATGCACCAAATGTTTGAAAACATTGGTACAGAAAAGTGAAATAAAATCTCAAACTGTGGCACTGACCCAGGGCAGCATCAGAATGGGGAGGGCCACCCAAGAGCTGGAAACCAACAGGAGCAACTCGTTGAACCTGTTGGGGTTAAATAACTTGTTGCCAGCAGATACAAAATCACCGGTTCAGTAATTATCCAATCGGAGGCTGGTACCGATTTGCTCAGTTAAATCCAGGTGGTGGCCAGGCAGTGCGTTTTATTGTGTTTTCAAGTGGTAAACCAAGAAAATCTGGCGTGTCATTGTAAGAAGGAACATGATTCACAGCTGTCACGTTTTCCCATTAAAAATCTGACTTTGTACTTCGACTCCCTCGCTTTCAAGATCCCTGAAACCTAACGGGGCCGTGTGCCCCTCTTAAATAAACAGTCTGCTTTGTTCCACTTGATCTCACTATAAATGCAGAGGTTTATTGGAGAACAAACAGCATCATGACGACTGAAGAATCAGCCAACAGGACAACCACTAGTTGACCTTCATTGAGAAGAGTTTTAAGAAAAATAAAAAACGTTATTAGCAGTTTCCCTGAAGTCACGCAGGATCAGCAGCAATTATGTGGATAAAGGTGGTTTAGTTCAACAAAACTCAAGTGAACCGAAATGTGAAATGTCACATGTGGTGGAAAATGCACAGTGCAGACCAAGCTCAACACAGAATCCCCACAGTGAAGCACGGTGGTAGCAGCGACTGGCTGTGGGAATCATTTCCTTCAGCTGAAGCAGAGACTCAAAGACGGAGCAGAAACCAAACAAAGACGAGAGTTTTGTCTTCAAACAGAAAAAGGCCCTGAGAAAAATAGTGGAAGTGTTTAGATCGAAGCCTATGAATGTGCTAAAGGGCCTAGTCAAAGTCCAGACCTAAGTCCAATTAGGTCTCCATTGAGATTTCAAAATATGTTTTTTTTTCTCTCCTTCCGGTCTGAGGTAAAGCCGCAAGCCAATGTACTGAAAACGTTTTTAGGTAGATTTACTTTGAATGTAGAAAATGGGGGGGAAACTAAAACATTTCTAACCGCAAAATATTTAACTTTGTTTTTGCTTTCTCATTTAACTTGCCACCCACATTTCTGACTGGTGTCATCTCTGCGTCGTTAGTGAGATATTTCATCTGTGTCGGCAGTTAACATGCTGGCATGTCCGAGCGTAAACACATGAAAGGTTTGCTGCAAGCGGACCGTTTTTAGGCGGTCTGACTCAGATCGAGATCAAATCTCTGACTGCGTTTCATTTCCCCAACGTTTTGAGCAATTTACTCCAATTTACTTCACGAGTGCGTTAAATGCGCCAGCGTGGAAAGTGGAGGAAGTTCTTTAATTGAAAGATTTCAGATACTCTCATCAAATCAATCATTTCAGTTTTCAAATACAGATAATAAATAAATATTAGCTCCACTGGCAGATTCTTTCACTTATAACGGAAATAAAAAGCTGTTTTTTCCGTTTCTGCTTGTGAAGCTGCTCTCTTAATCCCATAAATTTGACTAACAGAAACCTTCCTCATTAACCTTTACCTGTACAAACACATCTTTGTTCTGAATCGGCCACAAATGATTGCCACAATAATAACGCTTCAGTTTTTGCTAAATATCTAATGTTTTCATACCTTGTCATATGACACTACAATAGCTGATGATTTTCCTTTCTCTTTCTCGTATTGCTTGAACCCTGTGGCCTGCTTAATAATGTGGAACATCCTTCCTTTAATTGAGCTCATCAGGCAAACTAATCAACTAGCTCTTTGAAATTAATTATTATTATTAGAGCACTAAAAAAAATTAAAAAACCAATACCATCTATAAATTTAATAGCACAACCCAAAATGTATCTTTATGACACTTAAATCCAATTCGCATAATAATTTGGAACACGGTGTAAAAACACTGCGACATATGATCCAACATATGACGGCTTTATTTTTAAGTGGTTCTCTGGATTTGTTGTTGGCAGTCAGTGTCTTACATGAGCACTAGAGAGAAACTCTAGATGAAACAAAAAGAAATTTAAAAAAAATTGGATAATGGGAGCAGAGGCGCAGACTGTTTCAGAGCAGATTTCAGAGCAAACAAATGCAACTAAAAGATGTAACTCATGCGGCAGCCGTTTTACAAACCTGCATCAAACGACTGATGCAAAAGTAAAACAAGCGTCCACAAAAACATAAAAGAAAAACTTTGCGATTTATTGTTTTTATTTGAACAGACCCTAAATTGGAAGACCAGGCCGTAGCGACGCCCTGCTGCAGATTCATCTCGTTGCCACGAGTTCTGCGCCGGCGGCGGAAACATCTCTGGCTGGTTTCTATCGAGACGACTAATAAGGGATGTTGCTATTTTCTCAGCAGGAAACTCTTTCATATCTCCTCTCAGCAGGTCCCACATGGCTGGAGCTGAGCTCCAGCATTCAATCTCTCACCTGCAAGCTCACGTTTTCTCACCATATGTATGGCTTTGCTAAAACGTGACTGACATTTAGTCAATAAAACCCTTAAATGCATCAAAGAAATCATTGCTGAGCATGGATTAGTAATTCATTATTTTGGTGGCTTATGGGGCTTGTTTCTTAAAAGCCTATAAAGGTCTATTGAAGGTCATAAAAGGTCAATAATTGACTTTGAAGACCTCAGCCTGGATTGTTGAGGAACTCACTTGTAATAATGGAAAACAAAAAGAACAAGATCAAGAAGGAGAAAAATGTAAATCAGCCTGAGGCTGAAGGAAAATTATTTGTTTTTAAAATGTTTTGCTTATAAAAAATGTGGAAATTGTAGCTTGCGTGATTATTCACAGCTTCAGATAAATACATTTTGCAGCCCCCTATTGTTCATTATTCTATGTAAAAATAAAACAACAAATGAATAAATAAAGTTCAAGCTTCGTATAGAAACCATCTGAACATCGAGTTTTCAAGTTTTGACACCAATTCCCAGCTGGATTCGGGTCTGGACATGTTCATGATTGTAACACATGAACATGCTTTGGTCTAATCCGGATCTGGGCTTTTTACATAAACCCTTGACCAGGTTAGACCCCATTACTTCCTTAAGTGCACAACCACAAAGTTGTGTGGAGAACACGTGGGTGCGTTTAAAGGGAGAGTATTATGTATTTTCCAGGCTCTTGATTTAAGCCACAGTCAAGTAACCACGTTGCTTTCAATGTGGTACAAATCAAAAACAACTTTTAAAAAAAATCAGCAATTTAGCCCTATCTAATCGGGCCTCTGTTCCTTTAAGAAGCTCCTACTCTTTCTGACACTCCCCCCTCCAGAACATCATCACAGCAGAACGTCTCCATTGATGTCATTTACAGGCCTGTCAGGATAAACGATAAGCCAATGAATCGCACGATAAATGAAAACTATCGACCAGGGCTGGGCGATGTATCCAGTATACTCAATGTATCACAATATTTTCAATTCATAATAGTTAAAATGGCTACATCGCACCTATCGAGTATAAACTTTCACTGTCAAATTCACTGCTAGCACGGTTTATCCGACACCCCATGAACGCATCGCTAGTCCCTCCACCTTCCAACCTGAAAATGTTCTACCAATCAGAAAACAAACAACATGGTGACAGCGAGCGTTTGAGGTGTGAATGAGACTGAAGAGGGATCAGATGAACCGTCTGGTTCCGAACCGCGCTGGATCAATCGTCTGGCAGTGGTTTGGATTTTATATGGAGGACGTCGAACAAAATCAGGTCATTTGCGAAACTTGTTATAAAACTATTGCCACGAAAGTTTGTACCACAATTGATTTCGCCGCCTAAAGAGACTATTCTTTTACATGCCGTTCACAACCGCGCTGCTGTTTTACAATTTCAAATCTTTACTTTCCATTTTAATACTTTTTTCTGACTTTCAAAACAATTTCTCAGTTACAAACATTTGTTTTGTTTCAAGCTTTTCTTAGGGGGGGGGGGGGTTGTTTCAAATCTCTCCTTTTCTTAGTTTTCATTTGTTTGTTTTTTTCTTTCAAAAAAGCTATTATGGCCCCAATTTAGCTCCATAGAAAAAACATGAATTCCCTAAAACAACTTTTTATTTATTTCTGTATCATTATAATGAGCCTCCAGCGCACAGCGAGCGACGGAGCGGATAAAGAGCCAGTTCAACAAGAGTCGGTGTTCATTCGTCTGTGTGTTTCTCTCACATAGCTGACCTTGTGCGCTTGGTCTCCGAGGTAAACTCATTA